TTTACTTAAGATCTTATTAATAATATCACTAAAACAACAAACGTGTACATGGAGTATGGCGAAGATGAGGGTATGAATAATGCTTAATGGAATGAGAACTTTTGTAACTTACACTAAAAAATGAAAATTGGCAGGGACGAGTATAAATGACGGTTTTCTGCATGCTTTGCCCGATTATTTGACTATTCCGTCTCGAGTAATATTGACGCAAGTATTTCACATGCACGTACATCAACGTAGCAGCGAACAGTAATATCCAACGTTGAGTGAAGGCGGTTGTATATAACCGTACAGAGTGCGAATAAAACTATAATTTCTGAGCGTCATAGATGATAGGAGTGTTTGAACGACGCACACGTATAATCAGGGGGCTCTTAAAGTACTAATAACGTTATATGACCAAATGACCATGAGAGGAGGATTATGAAACAATGTTCCGCGATAACAAGTTGGAGGGTTCGATGACACTGCGCATTCTGCCCCGCGGCGGCTTCCTCTACGAGGAACTGCCAGATGATGCGGGCGTATCTTTCCAAATCCGCGGGCGCGCGTAACTACTTCTCGTGATGCGCGTTGCGGGGACGACGGCGGCGGCGGCGGCGCCGGGGATGAGTCGGGGGTGAGTCGGCGTTTCACCGCTCGCCGCCGCCGCCCCCTGCTCTCATCTACTACCCCTCTGATAAGGACTGCCTTTTGTCTGGCACAAAAATCGTCTCTCTTTTGTCCACCACGCGTTCAGGCTAATAATGTATTCTTGAGGTTGCCTGGAGCTGCTCTGGAGCCGAGGGGGAGCGGGGCGGCTGGGCGGAGCTACCCCAGCCGGCCGACATACTCCCGGTGCGTGGAGAAGATATCCCCGGCGCTGGAGCCGGAGAGGCGCGTGTGTCGACTAATCATCGACACTCGGTGACACTACCCTTCTTCTTCTTCCCCTTGCTGCCTTCCAGCTCATCTCAGCGAGTCGGCAATCTCCCGGAAGGTCTTGTTCTTGGTCTCGGGGACGAGGAAGGCGGTGAAGAGCGAGAACGCCAGCAGCAGCGCCGAGAAGGGCGCGAACACCAGGTAGTCCAGCTTTTTCTGCGCGTCGGAACAAAACGACGGCGTGGTTATGAAAGCGGGTGGCCGAGTCCAACGCCAACGTTGGAGCAAACCTATCTCACTGTTAATTTCCCCACATCTAAAATTGATGGCCGTTCGACGTCTAAAAGACGGCAAACAACGCATCCTATCATCCCTCTTAGGGGTCGTCCACATATTACGTCACGCTATTTTTGGCAGTTTTTGACCCCCCCCTCCCCCCACGTCACGCGGCTAACCTAACCTTCCAATGCTTTTGGTATAGGACCGTCACGCAAGCGTAGACCCCC